GGGATCGAGTACTTAGGCCGAACGCTAAAACTGAACTCCGCATTCAAATCGGATACTGCCTGGACGAACGTTAAGATCAAAGTCTTAGGCTCGACATTAGAATTCCCCACGCTATTAGACCGGATACCATTAGGTCGAACACTAAAAGAACGAACTCTAGGTTCGAAACTCATTTAACCGAATACTAAAAGAACGAACGCTACAATTTCTAATACACTAAGACTGAACGTTCATGATCCAACCTTACGAATATCAATTTACAACCGAACGTTCCATATCTAAATTTAGGAATATCAATTAAAACCGAACGAACACTAATACATCAAAACCGAACGTTCAAGATTAAATCCTAAGAATATCAAATGAAGACCGAACGCTACAATCACTAATTCGCCAAGCGGACGTTCAAGATTCAAGCCTGATAATACTATATTAAGCCGAACGCTACAGTTAATAATACACGAAGACCGATCAATTGAACGCTTAAGATTGAAAACTAAGTATACCAACTTTACAACGAACGCTCAAAGTCAATTAGACATCCAGACGAACGCTCTAGATCACCATTGGAGACTACCAAATTAAAATCGAACACTACAATCATCAAAACCGACCGTTTAAGATCAAAACCTGAGAATTCAAATTAACACCGGATGCTCACCATCACTAATACACCAAATCCGAACGTATAATGTTTAAACCTAAGAATCCAAATTAACACCGAACGCTTCCAATCATTAATTTACCAAGATCGAACGACTAAGATTCAAACTTAAGAATTCCAAATTAAGACCGAACGCTCACGAGCCGAGAATACCTCATATAAACCGAACGCTAAATATGAGAATGCCAGTTTAAGATCGAGCGCTTAAGATTACTATTTCACCAAGACCGAACGCTAACGTTCACCGAACACAAAACCAAACGCTCTACAATTTTTGGCGTACCACTATTTGGTCACTATTCAGGCGAACGTTCAGAATACACCACCGAACGTTCAGAAATTGGCCGACCACTATTTGGTCGAGCGTTGATTGGACGCACGCGCGTTTCTGCAGAATTCTGCAGAATCGCGTTAGGTTTTCCAGAAACCCCATTTTTCATTCCCAAATTCCCATATTTCCATCAAATACAGTATATTTCAATAATCAAACAAAAGATCTAGCTCCCCTTACCTCTTGAAGACTTCCTTGAATATACCTCCAAAGGATTTGATCTCCTTCCAACTTCAAAAGCTCTCCACTTCTCCTCTCCCAGAACTTGCAGTGCCAAGGCCTCCTTGCACTTCGGCAGCTCCCACTTCACCTTCTCTCAGATATGGCAGCAACTCCTTCAATATGCAGAACCCCCAAATCCTTTTGATTCCATGGCTTTTACCTTTAAGAAGGAAGAAATGGTGCTCCCCACAGCCACTCTTCAGTGCTATGCCCACCAACGAAGGAGATGATGGTGTTCCTTGGTGGTTGAAGCACTTCAAAGTGGAGTGACTCACCCTCCACCGGCAGCTGTACCATTGTTGAACAGGAAGCCCCCACCACTACCAAAAGGAAGAGAATGTGCGGTCCTCACAACCCCCACCAGCAACAGAAAGTGAACCCCTCCCCCACCACTTTTTATTTTAAAAACACGCACTGTCCTTACAGTAAATGGGTCACGAAATCCATGGAGATGTTGTCCCACTTCCATTCGGGGATCTCAAGTTGTTGCAGCAAACCGCCCGGCCTTTGGTGTTCAGCCTTCGCTCGCTCACAAGTTAAGCATGACGCCACGAAACGAGCGATATCGTTCTTCATTCCCGGCCACCAGAAGGACTTTCGGAGATCTTGATACATCTTAGTCATGCCAGGGTGCATGCTAAGACGACTTTGATGCCCTTCCTCCAGAATAATTCTCTTCAGCTCTCCATCATTTGGAACACACGTCCGGTCCATATAGCGTAAGAGACCGTCTGTTCCAGTGTTGAAATGTTCAGCCTTCTCCGTACCGAGCGCGCCAAAAATTTTTACCAGATCCTCATCCTCTTGCTGCTTCACTCTGATCCGGTCGAATACGTCACTGGATATTCTAAGGTTACAGCATCTAATGACGTTCGGTTCTAAGTCGAACTGTAACCTTAAGTCTCTAAAGCTTTCCACCAATTGAAGTTCTCTGACCATCATGGATGAGATGTGCACCACCTTTCTGCTCAAAGCGTCCGCTACTATGTTCGCTTTCCCTGGATGGTAGAGTAACTCAAAATCGTAGTCCTTCAAGAACTTAAGCCACCTCCTCTGCCTCATATTCAACTCTTTCTGATCAAAGAGGTACTTGAGACTCTTGTGATCACTGAAGACTTGGAAAGTTGATCCATACAAGTAGTGCCTCCAAATCTTCAGTGCGAACACCACCGCTGCCAACTCCAGATCGTGCGTTGGGTAATTTCTCTCGTGAATCTTCAGTTGACGAGAAGCATACGCGACCGCTCTCTTCTCTTTCATTAGCACATAACCCAAACCTTGATGAGAAGCGTCGCAGTATACCTCGAACGGTTTGGCTGTGTCTGGAATAATCAGAACTGGAGCGCTCGTCAATTTCCTCTTCAATTCCTGGAAGCTCGCTTCACACCGATCGGTCCATCCGAACGGTTGATCTTTCCTGGTCAGCTGAGATAGCGGGGCTACTATCTTAGAAAATCCTTCAATAAAACGCCTATAGTAGCCCGCAAGTCCCACGAAGCTGCGAACCTCAGTGACCGAACGGGGACTCTCCCATTCCAATACCGCTCGTACCTTGGCCGTATCCACTGAGATACCTTCAGCCGACACCACGTGCCCCAAGAATTGAACTTCTTTCATCCAAAACTCACATTTGGATAACTTGGCGTACAACTCCTTCTCCCTCAATACGCCAAGTACAATTCTCAAGTGCTCAACATGTTTGTCCTGGGTCTTGGAGTAGATAAGTATATCGTCGATGAAGACGACCACAAATTTGTCCAGGTATGGTCTGAATATGCGATTCATGTAATCCATGAAGATTACTGGTGCGTTCGTCACACCGAACGGCATCACTACATACTCGTAGTGTCCGTAACGAGATCTGAAAGCAGTCTTCTGGACGTCTTCCTCCTTAACTCTGATTTGATGATATCCAGATCGCAAGTCAATCTTCGAGAATACTGTGGCCCCATGCAATTGATCCAACAAATCGTCTATCCTTGGCAATGGGTACTTACTCTTGATGGTCAACTTGTTTAATTGTCTGTAATCAATGCAAAGCCGAGAGCTGCCATCTTTCTTCTTCACCAAGAGAACAGGCGCTCCCCAGGGTGATACGCTCGGTCTGATAAATTTCTTGTCCATCAAATCTTCAATCTGCTTCTTGAGTTCAGCCAACTCCGCAGGTGCCATTCTATACGGTGCAACACAAATGGGCCCTACGGTCGTCACTAAATCAATTGTGAATTCAACTTCGCGAGGAGGGGGAAGTCCAAGTATTTCATCCGGAAAGACATCCAGGAACTCGTCCACAGCCGATCGTCCTCCACCGAGTTCGCTACTGGACGATCGCTCATATACTAATCCTCCAAACTCCTCGTCTGCGTGCGTCATTATCAGGAAACAGCTGGTGCCCTCCATGATGTCCTCCTTTAGTTGACCGAGCGTCACAGACAACTTTTCTTCTTCTTCACCCGGAAACACCAACTTCTTTTCTCCACAATCTATAAAAATGCGATTGGCAGTTAACCAATCCATCCCTAATATCACCTCCAAACTTTGAAGAGGTAAGCAGATGAGATTAACTTTAAACTTACGCCCTTCCACTTCTATAGGACATCTAATGCACACCGTGGACGTCTTAACCTCACCAGCTGCTGGGGTTGACACCGCCAGGTCGAACTGCATCTCTCTCTCCACTAAACCCAGTTTCCCAATGCACGCCGTCGAGATGAAGGAATGTGTTGCTCCTAAGTCATACAATACACAGCAAGATCTACCATACAACAAGCATTCACTGATTATGAGATTACCTGAGCTTGCTGCCTCTGCGCCGGTTATAGCATACACACGTCCAACTGCTTCAGCTCTACCACCACCTCTCGGTTGATTCCTTCCCGCGTTCAGTGATCTCATCACCGCTCGTTCCCCCATGTTGCACTCATTCTCCAGATGTCCGTTTCTCCTACAACGAGTGCAAAATTTTCCTCCTATCAGCTGAGGACATGACGAGCGGTAATGTGGTCCTCCACACTGGAAACAGGTCACATTTCCTTGTTGCCCAGACTGCCCGACAGCCACCACTGCTTTAGATACACTTGGATTCACTGATTGTGCTGGTCGAACGTAAGGTGTCCTTCTCAGGTTCGCATTGTTTCTTGACAAGATCGGCCCTCTAGCCACTTGTTGTTTCTTCTGTTGTTCCACTTCTGCTACATTCTTCTCCAACACTTTGGCTCGATCAACCATAGCAGGAAAAGACTTGATGCACAGGCTAGAAATCAACAACTTCAATTCACTTCTCAGGTCATTTTTGAACTTACGACACTGCCATTCTTCGCTCGTAGCCGTAGTGTTGAAACGAACCAAGTGTTTGAACTTATATGTATACTCTGATACGGACATCCCACCTTGTACCAGTTGCAGAAACTCCACTTCCTTGGCGAAACGAAAACTATCTGGAAAGTATTCTTCATAAAATTTGCTTCTGAATACTTCCCATGTAATGGGGCTTTGAGTGTCTGCTAAGATCATCTTCATGCTCGCCCACCAGTGACTGGCCTCTCCAGTCAACAGATACTCAATGAATGCGAGTTTATTATCATCAGGGCACCTCTTGGCATTGTAGATCTGTTCCATATCTCTCAGCCACTAATCAGCCTCATCAGGAAGGCATTTCCCACTGAATTTTGCGTGGTGATGCTGAAGGAAACTCTCCAAGCTCCACTCAGCCTGTTGGGTAACGTTGGAAGAGGACGCTCCCTGTGTATTCCTGGTAGCGGCAATGATCTCCATCAATTGCCTCTAAGTAGCTTCAGAGTTTGCGCGAACGGCCTCCAAACTCTGTAAAGCATTCGCGTTCTGCTGCATTAGGGTAGCATTCTGCTGTTGTAGCCTTTCTATCACCGATTCCAACAACCTGGTGTTGTCGGACACATCACGGTCGGTGAGTTGAGGTAGAGGAGGGGGTCTAGGTGCCATTTGTTCTCTGAGAAACAAAGAAAAACGAACGTTAGTTATGCTCAAAGAGTTTAAAATACTCAATAAACGAGCGTTGAGCACACAACAAAAATGCAGTGCACTCACAACCTACAGTGTCCTTAAAAGAACAAAACTGCTCTGATACCACTAATGTAACATCCCAAAAATACAGTAATAACCATATAATAGAATTAATTACATTTCATAATCAATCAGTGCAGTCTTACACTAATACCAACATTCAAAAATCGAACGGCGTTATGTACAGAGTTAATTTACAATATTACAGAAATAAGAAAGAGTCAGGATCGAACGGTTTTACAAAACCAAATACCGAACGATCGCTTACAAAACAAATAACATCTAATACTACCGAACAACCTAAGGTTCGGCCTTAACTTCAACGTCCACCAGATTCTCCTCTTCAATCACGTCTTCCAACAATGCTTCTCCTTCTGCTCACATCCACACGGATGATCATTGCAATGACAAGATGGACGTACAAGTACGAGACAACACAAGAAAACACAGGGTAAGCTTATATAATTTAATTCATACATCAACATAAAAATTAAACATTCCAACAACACAAGAGTAGTTCAACACATATAACTATACGAAAGCTATCACTAGACGGACCGTCCGGACTGTATGAATCTGTGTAGCTACAGGCGTTCTTGCACCCGGGTGATGTAGTAACTGGGATACACTCAACAGCTGTCACCCGAGGATAGCCCTATCCAAAGTACCCCTAAGGACTAGGACCTCCTGCCGTTCCCACACATGACCTACCCTCCTCTACGTGAGGACGAGTACTCACGGAACATCAGGATGAACTGCCAGCATTAGCATGCCCACAGTCATACTTTACAATTTTCAAATATTCAATACATGAGTCGTTCCTCCCCGGAACGCTCGTTCAACTTCACATAATTTTATTCATACTCAATCTCGTTTCCATCTTTCACTATCACTTTTCTCAATTTTCTCTTTCATTTCCAATACGTTTAAATTCATCATTTGCTCTAAGAGTATAAAATACCGAACGTTCAAACCCCTTTAGAACGAGGACGAACGATAAGAATGACAATTTTCCCATTCAGAACAGAATAAGACTAAGAGAGTTACTTTTGG